AGATTGGTCCATAACTGTGGCCTGTATCGTGTTTACAAACACGGACGGACACACATGTCTAGATCGACTCAGCTAGTCGAGATATGACGATCGGTATACTTAAAGGTGGGTCTAGGACCAATATTTCGCGGCGTTACAAACTTTTGGGGCTGTACAAAGCTATAATACCCTGACAACATAGTTGTGTAGGGTATAAATAGCTTTATATATTTATATGGGGCTATTACTGGATATATTTGAGAAGACATTTCGTCAATCAAATCGAATATGTCCTTGTACATCTTTTTGGTCCTTATTTTCTTGAACTGTGAACTAAATTCAACAAAACCTGATGTTGACTATAACTTATATTTGAGTACCTATAGATTTCTCATATTTTGGAGAGTATTTGCGATACGATTGACTTCATTGCAATCTTTATTAATTGTTATTTTTGTCGCCTGACTTCATTCCCAAGAAAATAAAAAAAATAAATTTATTTCCTATAAATTAAACTACAAACTTCATGCATGATACACGACATTGATAAGATTTTGATTAAAATTAAATATGAAAATAGTTGCTTCTTAATATTTTTAATACGAATTATATACTTTATATAATTTGGTAATGCAATTTCATAGAATGTAAACGGTTTGAATGTGCGTGTATTGGTTAATTTGCAAATGCAGTTTTCACAGTTTTAATTTTTTTATTAAGCTTATTTTGCAAACATGTAGAATACAATTAAATACTTACTATTAAGCTTCTATTCCTATATGGTTTAATAGCATTGTTCACGCCTTGTTTTATCTAACTTTCGATTCGCAGTATCAAATTGTTACAAATTATTGAGTTATCAAACACACCTAATATTTTATTAGTCAAATTTATAATCTTTCGATAATTGATAAATTAGTAGCAATAAACAATAAACCGATAAAGACAGGTGTTCTTGCCTACTGTTGACCTAGTCTAAAACAGTTCATACTGATTCAAAATCGTTTATTGGTATATATTTTCGGCACGTAATTTCCATAAATAGAGATAGATATTTTATTGTTTCGTTATCAGATTTATGGCAGGTTGTCCTCGAAAGTTTAACTTCTGGATGTATCAGATTATAATAAAATTGAAAAGAAATATTTTTAAAAATTCAAGCTATAATAATAATATTTCAAAACACAATTTTTTGAAGAATCCAGGCCTATAATAACACTGTGCAACACAAAAAATAATTACCGGGAAATTCCAATAGATTATGAAAGAGGGGCTAAAAAAAGAAGACACATGTATCGGGGTTTTGAATGTTTACGTCGCAAGCTGGGCGGTATGCAAAGTGGCTATTAATTCAAAAAATTAACTTTAATTTTAATAAAAGTTTTTGATACCGGAAGATAGAAGATAAATTTCTACATCACTAATTGCTAAAATAAAAGTTCTTAGTTGTTGACTTTATTTGTAGTGTGTCTTCAAAGTTCAGTAATTATTACTATTTTTGCGCACATTGGTTAAAAGTGAAAATCTGCATATCTCCAATAATAATTTTTTTAAATTAAGACTTCTAAAAGTGAAAATTTTATTATGGAGCCGTCCACTTCAGGTGTTTGAGCATATGACAAATATTTGTTTGTTTAGATCAGGGTTAGCCAGGGTTAGATAAATGTTTTGGAAATATTAAAAAATAATAAGGAATTTGCTCCAAAAATGAGGTATTTTTGATGTTTGTATTGGATTTCAACTTCATCATCGGTAAAACTTAGTAAAACTGCTTATATTTTCTTAAAATATGAAGTTTAAGCTTATAAATTCCAGAAAATCTTTTTGCCTTGTTGGTGCATTTTTTTAATTTATTAAAGAATTTATAAAATAACTCAGATAAATGAAGAATCTCAGGAAGCCAGAAATAAGGACTTCAATAATTATTGGGACCTTTTTTCCACTAAATTTAGTCGAGAAAATATAATAGAAGACGTCTTTTAAGTTCAGATCCAGTTATAGGATTCAGATCCATACTAGGGATAAGTAAATCGTTTTTCGACTAATCGATTAATCGACTTTTTGTATTGAAAAGTCCAAGATCTATTAATAAGGTCACCAAGATAGCAATCGAAATCGGAAAACAGCTGTTTTTTCTCAAGTCTAATGTCAAAAATTTCGACTTTGTTTACATTTTCATAATGGACGTCAATTCACAATAATGCATTTTGACAGCAAACTTGAGAGGTATCGATAATCAGCTGGTCTCCCTTGGTGACCTTATTTATAGGCCATGGAAAAGTCTAAAAGTGGAAGTCGACTTTTGATCATTGAGAAAATCGCAAAGTCGACTTTTCAAGATCGACTTTCGATTTTCTTTATAAATACTTGCTTTATTATCACAATGTCGAAATTGCCCTTAGATTACATATTCCAGAACTTTATTTCATCTGTTGACAACAATTCTTAAATTTTAGTCGATTTTGCTTTAGTTGGTAAAAGTCGAAAATCGATTTTGAACAGTATTGACAAAATCGAAAGATCGAAAAGTCGACTTTTTAGTCAAAGGCAAAAATCGAAAAATCTAAAAATCGACTTTTTGGTCAGAGGCGAAAATCGTATCCATAATCCATACCAAAAAGGAAAATGATAATGGCGACGAAGATGAAGATTATTTTTACGAATTGTATGATGATTAAGAAGTAAAGGATTAGTATTAAGTAAATTTTTTTATAATGGTTGTGAAGTAAATGATGATTATGAAATTAATAATACTGTTAAAATTAATGTAATGAAGTAAATAAAAAACCGTACAATTATATTTTTTAATTATTTTTTTTCCTGTAATGGTTGTTTGTTTTATTTTTATACTATGGTTTTTGTTTATGAATATTGATCAATAAGATATAATAATATTTTCTAATGTAATTTTTTTAAATATGTGGAATTATGGAATTTGAAGAAAAAAAAATCGGATTTAATTTAAAATTTTGGGTATATAAATATAGATTGAATATTTATTAATTTTTATTTATTAAGAAAATTTTTTTTTCTAAAAGCACATTAAGTATGCTCTAATTTTCAATTGAATTTCCTAACTTATCATTTTTTTTTTGATTAGTTATAGAGAAAATTGTGATATAAGACCACCTTTTCCAAAATACAAAAAAAGGCCATAAAATAATAAAACAACATTTTATTAAATTTTTTTGTTTTTCTAATTATGTTTTTTATGTATTTATGAATATCCATCAATAAAAAATAACAATATTTTAAAATTACGACTTTCCTCAATTAATCGACATTTTGCCTACCGCTCAACCCACTGTGCGTCCGGGGTAACCTAAAAACGGGGGCCAATATTCCCCCATTTCAAAAATTTTTGATAATTTTCGAATTATGATTTCTTGAAATTCTTGCATTTTAGGTATATAGTGTCTTCGGCAATATTACTGATAAAATATCGTGGAATATTTTGGTATGTAACCTTAACCCTCAACCGACTCATTGAAGGGGTCTTTTTGGTCCCCTTTTCCAGAAGTGAAATTTGTACATATAATGTATATGGGCAATATTGCCAATTTTTTAATATAGCTGAAGCGGAGGTTCACCCCTTTATAACTCGGGAATTACTTAAGTATATGAAAAAAAGTGAATAGTTTTGGTTTAATTGGTCTGTCGTGGCAAACTGTTCATGATATTGACCTCCAAACTTTATTTTAGTGGATGCTGTGTCTACTTTAATGTAAAAGATGTGTAAAAACAGGTAGAGGCGAACCAGTTTTTTTATGTTCTCTATCGATTTTGTGACTAAGCCACTCATTTCACCGTCTTCGTGTCAAAGTAAAACTAGAAGCCAACAAAATGGGGACTACGCCACTTATATATCATTTTTCAAAATTTTAACTGCATCTACCTTTAAATGATGCTGACATTTTGAAGCTCGATTTGACTGTTTTTTGAATTTTATTTCTAGTTTCAATGCGCAAACAGGAAATTCTAAAAATCGATTATAAGATTATTGTAGTCGCGAATCTGAGTAATTTGATATATATTTGTGTATGTATTATGCACAGCTTCAGAGTAATACTCATCCGAAGGTGGAAATTTTGTGCGATCAAATTTCTAAAAAACCTATTTTTCGGGCCAAATTTTTAGATCTGTCAACTGAATTTTTAGGTGTGTGTGTGTATGTCATTAATATAATGAAAATATTGATGTAATCGGCTATATTTTTTATTTTTCTCATATTTCGCGAAGATGTGCAACTTTATCGCGATTATTATAAAATATTCATATTCTTTTTTTACGGAGGAAGATCTATATCTACGTTTTTGGTCAATAAAATAAACGGTGTAATTTTAAGATTTTTTTTCTTATGCCCAAAATTAAAACCTCGATAACTTTTGCGCACATTAACCAAAAATTTGATTGCGAACGCTTTCGGAGTCAGAACATTTTTCTCTATATGTGTACCAAAAATCATTGATGTGTTACAAAAACAAAAAAGCTGATTTTTTGAAAATGGAATATTAAAAAATTGGCAATATTGTCCATATACCGAATATATAGTCATACATTTTGAACAAAAAATTCAAAATGTTCTTGCATTTTTTTCAAAGACATTTCCCAGTACTTTTTTCGACTAAGCGCATTAAAGTGACATGAAACTTATTGTTCGGTATATTATGTCAAAGAATAAAATATTCTACGTCAAATTCCACTGCAAGACCCAAAACAAACTATATATTTATATTCAATAGGGTTTAAGAAATTTCACGTCAATACTAATCCTTTAAAATAATCTTTTTATAATAATATTTAAATAATATATTTTTAAAAAATATTTAAAAATACCATACATTCCCCACTAATAAATAGTTGTGTTTAAAAAAAAAACTACAAACTGGGATTCAGCCTGACTATTTTGCAAAACCGAAATACAAATAGTATCCCAAATAACCCACCAAAACTACTAAAAACAAAATAGATAAATCTCTTTTTAATAATTTTCAATTTATTTAACTTTCAACAATTTTCAGATACTTTATTGTACAAAGAAAAATTACCGAATATCGGCGACAAACTCAAGGATGGCATTGGTCAAAGTTGTCGCCTATCAACAATTACACGAAAATTCCCCATAATTGAATGGTTGCCAAAATATGAGGCCAATTTTTTGTTACAAGATTTTATAGCGGGATTTACGGTGGGCCTGACAACAATACCGCAAGCAATAGCATATGGTGTCGTGGCTGGCCTTGAACCTCAATATGGATTGTATTCGGCATTTATGGGTTGTTTTGCCTATATTATTTTCGGTTCGTGTAAAGATGTTACAATTGGTAGGTGATTTTTACCCTAGGATCTCATGAAAATTATATTTTAACTATGATTTGTTATATTTTTTTATAGCAACCACTGCCATTATGGCATTGATGGTCCATCAGTATGCCATCTTGAGTCCGGATTATGCTGTTCTCGTGTGTTTCTTGGCTGGCTGTTTGATATTGCTGATGGGTCTTTTGAATTTGGGTGTTTTGGTGAGATTTATTTCAATTCCGGTGATAACAGGTAAGGAGAATTTGATTTTTTGATTTCTGAAATTTAAAATGCGGATTTTTTGTAAAACTTTAGGTTTTACCATAGCAGCTGCTACCACCATTGGAAGTGCCCAAATCAATAATCTTTTTGGAATGAAAAGTAAGTCTAAAGGGAAAATGAAAACTTTCTTCAATTCTACTAAAAGCAAAACTGACCATCAGATCATTTATATATAAGTCCACAAAAAACTCCCTTCAGCTCGTCTATAAAGACTCCCTTTAACTCGTCTATAAAGACTCCCTTTAACTCGTCTATAAAAGACTCCCTTCAGCTCGTCTATAATGACTCCCTTCATCAGCTCGTCTATAAAGACTCCCTTCATCAGCTCGTCTATAAAGACATTCTTCATCAGCTCGTCTATAAAGACTCCCTTCATCAGCTCGTCTATAAAGACTCCCTTCATCAGCTCGTCTATAAAAGACTCCCTTCAGCTCGTCTATAAAAGACTCCCTTCAGCTCGTCTATAAAAGACTCCCTTCAGCTCGTCTATAAAAGACTCCCTTCAGCTCGTCCATAAAGACACCTATCATCAGCTCGTCTATAAAGACTCCCTTCATCAGCTCGTCTATAAAGACTCCCTTCATCAGCTCGTCTACAAAGACTCCCTTCAGCTCGCCTATCAAAGACTCCCTTCAGCGTCTATCAAGACGCTCTTCATCAGCTCTTCTATGAAGACTTCCTTCATCAGCTCGTCTATAAAGACTCCCTTCATCAGATGGTCTGTAAAGACTCCCTTCATCAGCTCGTCTATAAAGACTCCCTTCATCAGCCCGTCTATAAAGACGCCTTTCATCAGCTCGTCTATAAAGACGCCCTTCATCAGCTCGTCTATAAAGACACCCTTCATCAGCTAGTCTATAAAGACGCCCTTCATCAGCTCGTCTATAAAGACGCCCTTCATCAGCTCGTCTATAAAGACGCCCTTCATCAGCTCGTCTATAAAGACGCCCTTCATCAGCTCGTCTATAAAGACGCCCTTCATCAGCTCGTCTATAAAGACGCCCTTCATCAGCTCGTCTATAAAGACGCCCTTCATCAGCTCGTCTATAAAGACGCCCTTCATCAGCTTGTCTATAATAACGCCCTTCATCAGCTCGCCTATAAAGACGCCCTTCATCAGCTCGTCTATAAAGACGCCCTTCATCAGCTCGTCTATAAAGACGCCCTTCATCAGCTCGTCTATAAAGACGCCCTTCATCAGCTCGTCTATAAAGACGCCCTTCATCAGCTCGTCTATAAAGACGCCCTTCATCAGCTCGTCTATAAAGACGCCCTTCATCAGCTCGTCTATAAAGACGCCCTTCATCAGCTCGTCTATAAAGACGCCCTTCATCAGCTCGTCTATAAAGACGCCCTTCATCAGCTCGTCTATAAAGACGCCCTTCATCAGCTCGTCTATAAAGACTCCCTTCAGCTCGTCTATAAAAGACTCCCTTCAGCTCGTGTATAAAAGACTCCCTTCAGCTCGTCTATAAAAGACTCCCTTCAGCTTGTCTATAAAAGACTCCCTTCAGCTCGTCTATAAAAGACTCCCTTCAGCTCGTCTATAAAATACTCCCTTCTGTCCTTCTATAAAATACTACCTTCAGCTCATTCATAAAGATTCCCTGAATCTTCATGAGGTCTTTATCCTGACACCTTAATTTTGTTGTGAGGGAACCCTTCGTCTTCTGCTCTCTCTTTTCTTATTTCTTCATTAATTTTAGTTTTTCTCCAAAGGCCCCTCAAATGAACTGATATCCGCATGGAAACATTTCTTTACCCATTTGAATGAAATCGGTTGGAATGATGCTGGTCTGGGAGTAACATCTTTAATATTTTTGCTGCTTATGAAGGTAAGATACATAAATTCCAAAATTTCCGAATATGGCATACTGATCATAAAATAATTTTTGTTCTTCTCTAGAAAACCAAAGATATTCCCTATGGCAATCGTGTGTTTTGGAAATATTTGTCGCTGTCACGCAATGCCTTGGCAGTAATAATTGGTACCTCATTGGCCTATGGGCTGAGTCGTGATGGCTACCAACCATTTCGAGTGACTGGAAATATAACAGCCGGATTGCCACCCTTTCGGCCGCCACCATTCCACACCATTGTGAATGGTACCGAAGTTAGTTTTGGTGAAATGCTAAATAATATTGGAGCCTCATTGGCCTCAATACCATTGGTGGCGATTTTGGAAATTGTGGCCATATCGAAGGCGTTTTGTGAGTGAAGATGCAATAAAATGTTCAATACAAAAAATAAAATTCGGAAATATTTTTCTTTTCAGCAAAGGGTAAAATTGTCAATGCCTCCCAGGAAATGGTGGCTTTGGGTATGTGTAACATTATGGGTAGTTTTGTTTCATCGATGCCCGTGACGGGCTCTTTTACCCGTACTGCCGTGAATAATGCCAGTGGTGTTAAGACCCCCTTGGGTGGAGCTGTTACCGGGGCTTTGGTTCTCATGGCCTTGGCCTTTCTTACACAGACTTTTTACTATATACCCAAAGCAACATTGGCCTCGATTATTATTGCTGCCATGATTTCGTTAATGGAATTCGATAAAGTTCGTGACACGTGGAGATCGAAAAGTGGGTACTTTAAAAAAAGCATTTCAAAGAAATAAATTTTATAAAAAAATGTTTTTTTTTTTTTAGAAAAGGACCTCTTCCCCTTTGTGGCCACACTGATACCCTGCCTATTTTGGAGTTTGGAATATGGCATTTTGTGCGGCATGGTGGCAAATATTTCGTATATCTTGTATAGCAGTGCTAAACCTCAAATGAAATTGTATATTGAAAAGGTAGGGGAGAGGAAGAGAGCTTCCGAATTTTTTTATTATTATTTATTCTGTAATTTCTTTACTAGATTTCCGATTACGAAGTTGGTGTAGTTGATGTCAAACAAAAGCTGGATTTCGCCTCGGCAGAATATTTGAAAGAAAAGGTTGTGAAATTTGTGAATCTCAATACGGTGAATTTGATTGTGATTTCGGGTCAGGAAATCAATTCTATTGATTATACCGTGGCAATGGTGAGTACGCACATACATACAAACATTTTTTAAACCTCTGTAAAAATTAAAAATTCAATCTACAGAACCTGGAGCGAAATCTTTATGTCTAAACAGCTCGTCTATAGAGACTCCCTCCAGCTCGTCTATAGGGACTCCCTCCAGCTCGTCTATAAAGACTCCCTGCAGCTCGTCTATTAAGACTCCCTTCAGCTCGCACATAGAGACTCGCTTCAGCTCGCATATAGAGACTCGCTTCAGCTCGCATAAAGGGACTCCCTTCAGCTCGCCTATAAAGAGACTCGCTTCAGCTCGCCTATAGAGAGACTCGCTTCAGCTCGCCTATAGAGAGACTCGCTTCAGCTCGCCTATAGAGAGACTCGTTTCAGCTCGCCTATAGAGAGACTCGCTTCAGCTCGCCTATAGAGAGACTCGCTTCAACTCGCCTATAGAGACTCCCTTCAGCTCGTCTATAGAGAGACTCGCTTCAGCTCGCCTATAGAGAGACTCGCTTCAGCTCGCCTATAGAGAGACTCGCTTCAGCTCGCCTATAGAGAGACTCGCTTCAGCTCGCCTATAGAGAGACTCGCTTCAGCTCGCCTATAGAGAGAGACTCGCTTCAGCTCGCCTATAGAGAGACTCGCTTCAGCTCGCCTATAGAGAGAGACTCGCTTCAGCTCGCCTATAGAGAGAGACTCGCTTCAGCTCGCCTATAGAGAGAGACTCGCTTCAGCTCGCCTATAGAGAGAGACTCGCTTCAGCTCGCCTATAGAGAGAGACTCGCTTCAGCTCGCCTATAGAGAGTGACTCGCTTCAGCTCGCCTATAGAGAGTGACTCGCTTCAGCTCGCCTATAGAGAGTGACTCGCTTCAGCTCGCCTATAGAGAGTGACTCGCTTCAGCTCGCCTATAGAGAGTGACTCGCTTCAGCTCGCCTATAGAGAGTGACTCGCTTTAGCTCGCCTATAGAGAGTGACTCGCTTTAGCTCGCCTATAGAGAGTGACTCGCTTTAGCTCGCCTATAGAGAGTGACTCGCTTTAGCTCGACTATAGAGAGTGACTCGTTTTAGCTCGCCTATAGAGAGAGACTCGCTTCAGCTCGCCTATAGAGAGAGACTCGCTTCAGCTCGCCTATAGAGAGAGACTCGCTTCAGCTCGCCTATAGAGAGTGACTCGCTTCAGCTCGCCTATAGAGAGAGACTCGCTTCAGCTCGCCTATAGAGAGAGACTCGCTTCAGCTCGCCTATAGAGAGTGACTCGCTTCAGCTCGCCTATAGAGACTCGCTTCAGCTCGCCTATAGAGACTCGCTTCAGCTCGCCTATAGAGACTCGCTTTAGCTCGCCTATAGAGACTCGATTCAGCTCGCCTATAGAGACTCGCTTCAGCTCGCCTATAGAGAGTGACTCGCTTTAGCTCGCCTATAGAGAGTGACTCGCTTCAGCTCGCCTATAGAGAGTGACTCGCTTCAGCTCGCCTATAGAGAGTGACTCGCTTCAGCTCGCCTATAGAGAGAGACTCGCTTCAGCTCGCCTATAGAGAGAGACTCGCTTCAGCTCGCCTATAGAGAGAGACTCGCTTCAGCTCGCCTATAGAGAGTGACTCGCTTCAGCTCGCCTATAGAGAGAGACTCGCTTCAGCTCGCCTATAGAGAGAGACTCGCTTCAGCTCGCCTATAGAGAGAGACTCGCTTCAGCTCGCCTATAGAGAGAGAGACTCGCTTCAGCTCGCCTATAGAGAGAGACTCGCTTCAGCTCGCCTATAGAGAGAGACTCGCTTTAGCTCGCCTATAGAGAGAGACTCGCTTCAGCTCGCCTATAGAGAGTGACTCGCTTCAGCTCGCCTATAGAGAGAGACTCCCTTCAGCTCGTCTATGGAGATTCCCTCCGCCGAATATTTAGAAGTGTTCCAAACGAAATGATAAAATTAAGTAATTTTAAATTTATTTTTTTCATAAACATTATTTTTCTTTCTTTTCTTCAGAACCTAATAACACTGCATGAAGATTTGAAAATTCTGAAATGTGATCTGATCTGTTGGAATTGGAATATATCGTCGGCTGGTGTGGTCTGCCGTTTGAAAAGTGAAATGCGTGAAATATTCCGCTTTGAAAAGTCCTTAGAAGAAGTTATTGCCAAATATCAACAATCACATTCCAATAATGTATCTGAAAATAGTGTCTACACTTTAGCGTAAATGTTGTTATTGTTGTTTTTGTTATTATTATTTTAAATTAAGTACTTAATAAAAATAAAATGCTGTATTTTAGTATAGAACGAAAGAAATACATTTTAAAGAATAATATTTTATAAAATCATAATTAGTTTTGTTTAAGAGATCTGCATTCAGGGCAGAGAATAGCTGAAAACAGAGACACAGGGTTATCCTTTTCGGGGTTTCAGCGTAAATGTAAATACAGCACATATAAAAATTCAATTTTCAAATGCACTCAACGATGTTTGGATATGGTTTAAGTAGGGATTGTTTAATGTGTTAAGTGTCCTGACAATGAACTAAATATTAGTCCATGATGGCTGCCTAATACAGCAACTAAAATATAATATGTAATGCGACATTACGTCTGGGGTTTTTTTGTCAGGATTTTTTTGGAAACTTCTATATTTATTACTTCATTAATAACTAGGCAGCCACTTGAAAAAAAGTGGTTTGGTTTGTTTTTATTTTTTTCTAAGAAATGGAGGTTCAAATTCCATAGTCAGACAGTTTGACCCCTTAATACGAATATTTTGGAAGAATGTAACAAAGGTTATGCCACGAAGATCGAATATTTTATATTGAAAAATCTTCCATGTATAGAACACCTTTATCAATGTATGTTATTAATATATATGATGTCAATATTTTCACACAATTAAAATTAAATATTTTTTTTTTTTGAAATAATGAAAATATAAATTAAAAAAAATAAAGTGTTTCGATTCCCACAAATATACCCAACGAAGTTCCGAGAAACAAGGGAAGTACTAGCATTGAAGTACATAAAATGAATAGAACATTTTATATGTTTTAAGTAGTGGTTGACCAGTGTGTTAAGTGTCCTGACCGGGTGTAATGGCAAAGGTCAAAGTATTTGGTGGTATAACAACAACAACACAACAGTACTCATGGCGACGTTGTGTCTGGGTATTTTGGAAGATCTTATTTTAATAACTTAATTAATAACTCTAGACATTCTAATTTTTAAGTGGTTGGGTTTGTTTTTATTTTCTTCTAAGAATTAGTGGTTCAAATTCCATTGGCAGTCAAATTGCCTTAATATAGAAATGTTGAAAAAAAAAATTCAAGTGTTTCTTCGTCTACAAAATTATAATAATTTTTGGAAGAAAATTTGTGCCGTTATGTGCCTGGGGCAGAATCACAATTTTTATACCCTCAGCACTATGGTTAATGAAAGTATATACAATTTGACACTGCTAAAATGTGCCTCTTCGAAATATTGGCTTTGGACCCCATGTTTCTTTGGAACAAATCCATTTCATACAATTTGGAATCGATCTACAAATGTCCGGCCGGCTGGTGTGCACGATAATTCTTGAAGCGAGTAATCAATTTCATCCAATTTTTGCACATCGTAATATTTCGTCCAAACTTAGTTCAAGTTCGAAGATAGGGAATATCGTGACCACTCCTTGTGGTACCTCCCACAAAAATTTTAAAATTGTTGCTGAATAATAATAATCATGCGGATTAATTTGTACTAAACTTTTATAGACGAGCTGAAGGGAGTCTTTATAGACGAGCTGAAGGGAGTCTTTATAGACGAGCTGAAGGGAGTCTTTATAAACGAGCTGAAGGGAGTCTTTATAGACGAGCTGAAGGGAGTCTTTATAGACGAGCTGAAGGGAGTCTTTATAGACGAGCTGAAGGGAGTCTTTATAGACGAGCTGAAGGGAGTCTTTATAGACGAGCTGAACGGAGTCTTTATAGATGAGCTGAACGGAGTCTTTATAGACGAGCTGAGCGGAGTCTTTATAGACGAGCTGAGCGGAGTCTTTATAGACGAGCTGAGCGGAGTCTTTATAGACGAGCTGAGCGGAGTCTTTATAGACGAGCTGAGCGGAGTCTTTATAGACGAGCTGAAGGGAGTCTTTATAGATGAGCTGAAGGGAGTCTTTATAGACGAGCTGAACGGAGTCTTTATAGATGAGCTGAACGGAGTCTTTATAGACGAGCTGAACGGAGTCTTTATAGACGAGCTGAACGGAGTCTTTATAGACGAGCTGAACGGAGTCTTTATAGACGAGCTGAAGGGAGTCTTTATAGACGAGCTGAAGGGAGTCTTTATAGACGAGCTGAAGGAGCTTTATGACGAGCTGAAGGGAGTCTTTATAGACGAGCTGAAGGGAGTCTTTATAGACGAGCTGAAGGGAGTCTTTATAGACGAGCTGAAGGGAATCTTTATAGACCAGCTGAAAGGAGTCTTTATAGACAAGATCAACATTTTCTATATTAATAAATCCAATATTACGCAAATGGAATGACCGATGTGATCCAAACTGTGCTAATCGTAATACTTCCTTCAAACTGAAAATTCGAAAATTCATTCCTTCTTGTGTCTCCACCACAAATGGTCAAATTTGTGCTGAAAATGTATTTCATAATACCATGCGAACAGAGCATGCGATTCAACGTAAAGTTTATTTTAATCATGCTGGGAGATGGGACTTTCATCTTATCTGTCCAGTCCTTCTGGGACCTGCCCCACAAAGGGTGAACAATTTTGAAATTTTGTAAATCTTATTTTAGGGGAACGTAATGTCCCAATTTCATCCAAACTTTGTGCATCGTAATATGTTTACCTAGCCTATATAAAATCCAAATAAGCGACCCATCGGTCAACTCCGTCTTGTATTTAACCCACAACAGCGTTATACAACGTCCGATTTGATGTCAAATATTCACATCGTAATATTTCTTTCAAATTTAATTTATTTATGGAAAATGGAACCCATTCTGGCAACCACTCCTCTTGCATATACTACCAATTTCTCTGGCCTGGGTCCTTCAGAGGTAAATATATATAGAATAGAAAACATATTTTTTTTACATTTTTCACACAAAGTGTATGAAACACCTCATTTTATACTCAGTGATATATAGGAATTTTGGTGCAACATTTACAATAAATCGGACGAAAATATATATGTGAGCTATATCAAAATTCGAAACGATTTTCAGGTTCATCATCATTCTAGACTTAATTTAGTACGCCATGCCAAGTTTCCTGAACATCGAAAGATATATGGGACTTTGGTGCACCATTTACATAAAATCGGACGAAAATATACATGGGAGCTATATCTAAATCTGAACCGATTTCCACGAAAATTAGCACACATCATTCTGGACCTAATTCAGTACCTTATGCCAAATTTCGTGCAAATCGAAATATATATGTGGATTGTGGTGGCCCATTTAGCTTAAATCGGATGAACATATATATGTGAGCTATATCTAAATCTGAACCGATTTGCACGAAACTTAGCACACATCATTCTGGACGTAATTCGTATAAATCAAAAGATATATAGGGACTTTGGTGCACCATTTACATAAAATCGGACAAAACTATATATGGGAGCAATATCTAAATCTGAACTGATTTTCACAAAACTTGGCACACATAATTCAGGACCCAATTCAGTACACTATGCAAAATTTCTTGCAAATCGAAAGATATATAGGGACTTTGATGCCTATATCGGATGAAAATATATATGAGAGCTATATCTAAATCTGAACCGATTTTCACCAATTTCAATAGGGTTCGTCCTTAGGCCATATACGTGACTTGTTCCAAATTTCATCCAAATCGGATCATAAATGCGATCTGTACTTTGTTAACAATTTAACATCTACAGACGGACGGACATGCGTAAATCGACTCAGAAAGTGATTCTATGCATATACTCAAAAGGAACCCAATGACATAATACCCGGTACCACAGTGTGGTGAAGGGTATAAACAGAGAAAAATAAAGATTTTGGTCCACTTTATACCCTAAAAATTGCCGATTATTACCAAATACAATAGGGGTCTTCATTGGCCAGAACACATCCTATATAAAAAATTTCGTAAAGATTGGTCCATAACTGTGGCCTGTATCGTGTTTACAAATTATAATGGACAGACGGACGGACACACATGCCTAGATCGACTCAGCTAGTCGAGCTATGAAGATCGGTATACTAAAATGTGGGTCTAGGACCATATTTCACGGCGTTATAAACGCTTGGGGCTGCACAAAGCTATAATACCCTGACAATATAGTTGTGTAGGTTATACAAAATATTTCGCGGCGTTATAGAGATTTATTTCGGAATCTTTAATACCGAAGCTTTTATAGAAATTTTTAAGGTTTTTAAAGGAGCATGTTCCTCTATTCACCATTAGACTATTTCTCCCGTAGACTGTGACATCTGTTTTCTTTCTAATATATTATATATAGAATTCTACATCTAACCTCAATTAAACAAAACACTTGTTACGTCCAATATCTCCCTCTCTCACATTGCCTGTACGTCTGTATTATTAAGGCGACAAACTGTCTGCCAAATGCAATTTGAACCACCAATTCTTAGAAGAAAAAAAAACAAACCGAAAACCCTTGAAGTTGCTTAACTTAGTTATGGATTAAGCAATTAATACATGGTCCCACAAAAACTGAAAAACCCAGACACCTATTATTGTTCTTATTACCACTGAATGCAAGTATGTTGTGTGTTGGTGTGTGTGTGAAGTTTCAAGTGTCTCCTCTGCTAACCTTGAACAGCTCTCTTCATTCATTGATAAAAACATATTTCATTTCTGTTGTTGCTTCTGCTGCTGCTCTCCTTCATGAATGAACGTCACATGCTAGGTTAGCCACCAAGGATATTATTGTCCTTTTTTTGGTAATTATTCATTGTCAGAGGATACTTAACACTTTTGGTCAACCACTACTAAAAAACCTTTTATATATGGAGCACGACTACTAGTACTTCCATAATTGTGGCTGTGTGCACTTCATTCTTAGAACATCCTTGGGTGAGGATGAGAGTTGAAGTGTGTGAGCAAACCATTTTCCTTTTGTTTTTCTAAGATCCCATAAAATTATGAAATATTATTTAATGACACTTTAAAATGTGGGTAGCAAGTGATCACAACATTGTCTCAAATGTCATATTTGTTTTTC